TCTTACTTCACGTAACTGACAGCAGGAACAGCTAATGTAAGCATCGTGGGCATGAAATTGGTAGACCAGGGTGTTTTGTCGGGTGTTTTCCTTTTAGACCCATCAAGAAGTCGGAGCACCCCTATCAACTCCTGGATCGACGACCCGCTCAAGAAGGAACACTTACGGGATTCATCCTATCGTTCCAGTCCCATTCGAACTTGAATTTGATATATAATTTGACCGATGTCAAACATTGCATGTCTACAATGCAGCGTGTACGCGGGACTCCGGTGACGCATCACTTTCGATTTACAATTGGATCATCGCGTTGGAATTTTCAAGAGTTTATGCAATATAGGAGTTGTTATAAAATGACGAAAAGCTCGCCATGGGTGTACTGATGAGACGAACGTCAATCACGGTTACAGCGACGCTATTGGCTCACTGAATTAACCAGAGTGGACAACACGTTGAATTCTTTTAATATCGGGAAGCCGAAGAGCGTATCCTTGTAAGCCTTATCACTTTCCGGATAACACGGAAGATTTACACAAATGGTATTGACCAAGTTATACGTTACTGGTGCATCAATGGAATTTGCGTAGCAAATATGAAGACGCTAGAGATGTGTTGCAGTTCCTGTGAGCAATAAACGCCTACCGTTTGAATTCATCCCGTGGTTTAGAATCTTGAGTGTCCTTTAGTGCTCATAGAATTCCTTTCGTGGTAGCGTTCTATACGCAGTGCCACGCTTCTCGACTGGTTTGCTTGCTGTTAACTAGTTAATCGTTTTGCTGCAAACTTATTTTTTCCTATTTTTAGTGCCCCTACATCGTTTATACACGCATCCGGATTTTAACACTTCCCTCTACATGAAGAGATCCTCTTCCTGTCACTCAGAGTTCGAAAGGCAGCCCAAATGTCTGCGTCGCTCCTTGTCTGATCCTGTTGATAAGGAACTCGTAGACTCAATTGGGATCTTTCATACGGTTCCTTTAGAGCTACAATATAAGATATTTTCCTTCCTCACGAGTATGCTGCTATTTGCTTTCTAGCCTTATCAGTTGATGATTTAATTACCTTGGCAGGGGTCACATCACGTATGAAATTCACCATAGATCTATTTGTCAACAGTTCACAATGCGCACTGCTGAGGGAATTTCGTTCCCCTCATTCTGGTTCCACTGATTTGAAGTTGGCCTCCTTGAACAGACTATGCGACAAATTTAAGAAAGCAGGTTAGTTAGCTGGAATTATCGTCAGTTCCAAAGGATGCCTTTTCAGAGTGCTCAGTTCATCTCTATCAACCAGCCTTCGACTTAATTTTTTGGAACAGCAATTGATTCGTGTGAGTTGGGGTTTCAGCTCCTATTCGTTTCTCATGTTACGTCATATGATATTGCAATAAACGCTGCTGAATGGTAAGACTTATCTGGTATATTTTAGCAGTACCAATGTTAACTTCTCGTACCATTTAGCATGCTATTCCTAAGGTCCGTTGTTTGTCGCAGCAACTAACTAGCGCAGCTAAAAATGAACTTCTTTTATCCGCGTTTTGCATTTGCCTACCTATTAGTTACTTACTAAGAGACCATGACCTGACGTTTAGATTTAATTTCCTTGTCTACTATATAAATTCATCCACGAGGCAGTATACCGAGTACTTTTGTAGTGCCAAAGACAAACTAACCAATTATGGACTCACGTCACTCGCATTGAGGACTAAAGATGAATCTGCTATTTTGTTCTTTCAAATACGTGGTCAATTCTGTTAGATCAGCTTCATTAGTACAGGGCACAGAGTACTTCTGTTGGTTAGCATATTTATTTGCCTTAATGACTTGATACCGCCAGTCACAATTCAGTAACTGGTATATACTGCAAAAGCTTACAAACCTATTTGCAGCCTTTCCATATTTTACCGGCAAAACGCGTGCAGATGTTGGTGCTTTGCCTCGAGTAACTGATTGGTATATTTTCTGCTAAACTTTCTCCAAAGCCTGGATTGCCAGATACCAATAATTAACGCCGTAGGAAGCTGTGCGTACCGATACGATTCAATATGAAATATTTTTTTCGAACAGTTTCCTGATGTTCTGGCCGTCGCAGAGGACAATAAACGGCGCTCTATCTGTTGCATCAAAGAGGGTGGATAGGGGTTTGGATGCTACTGCTCAAGCCTTCCCATCTTCTTATACATTCTACGCATTCTCCCCCTTGTGGTCCCGTTCCAACTTCACTTTTATCCCCTCAGTTTTCAACCCCTCCCCGATTCTTGGCACTCCCCCAACATGCTTTGCTAGGCGTTTATCTTCTAGTTTCAACTCACATGCAAACGTGGAACGTCACTCCTCTCCTGCCGACAAGCCGAAGTCCAACCAAGCGGTCCACCCCAGTTCATCGGCTTCCATTTGCAACCCTCGATCCTCCTTCAGATTATCATGCCTCAACGTACACACATTGCTACAGATCGGTCAACAGGCGGCACTTGCCCGAACTTTAGGGACTCTCTCGATCGCCATCGAGCTCTGTGCTCACTTTGCGATCCCCTTCAGGTGACACCAGCAGCACTTTCTCATTGCGCCTATCCGGTGACGATGCGGCTTCGAGCACCGGCCAAGCTGGTGTTGGCATTGCCCTGAGTCCCCGGGCTGAAGCTGCTCTGGTTGATTGGACCCCAATCAGTAGCTGGATGTGTGCGGTCCGATTGGCTGCCTCGTTTAAAGCTTCGCAATCGCACGGGACTAATAGGTGTCTGTTTATCATCGCTGCCTACGCGCCCACAAACTGTAGCGATGATTCGGTAAAAGTCGACTTCTACCGCCAACTGACCGAGCTCCTTCGCCACAGCAGAAGCACGGACACTGTTGTGCTGGCGGGGAATCTGAACGCACAAGTTGAAAAGTTGTCCACTGATGAATTGCATCTGGGCGGTCAACATGGTCTAGGCTCCCGTAATGGCAACGGTGAGCGATTACTTCATTTGTGTGAAGGTGCCCACTTATTTCTCGCGAGTGCTAATTTCCGATACAGCACCTGCCGGAGGGTAACATGGCGCTCACCAGCCTTGGACCCAAATCGATCACATTGCAATCAGTTACCGCTTGAGAAGCCGCGTCCAGAACTGTCGCTCAATTTGGAGCACATGTGTGGACACCGACCATGCACTTGTATGTGCTGACATGCGGATGCACTTTGGCGGATGCCCACGACGACGCTGTGAGCTTATTGACACCATTCAACTTGCGAAGCCAGCTGTTCTGAATGCCTATCAAAGTACGCTGACATGCAAGTTGAGTAAGCGCTCACTGGAGACAATTAAAGATCACTGGTCGCATGTTCACCAGACCTTACTAGCAGCAGGCAAATCCTCATGTGTAAGTCTACTAGCCAACATGGACATTGGGTCTCTTCGCAGTCTCTGGAACTTATCGTTGCTCGCCGGCATATTCCGGCTGGAAGCGAACACAATGAAACTCGCAAAGAGCTCCGGGCAAAACTCCGTGCCAGCCTGAAGAGAGATCGCAAATCCTGGTGTTATGTTCGTGCGTCATAAATGAAAGTAGCCACTGTCCTTGGTAACCATGCAACTTATTCCGTCTGATATGGGAAACGAGCAGCAGGAGACCTGGTGTTAGTGAAACAATTTGTGACGAGAGTGGACAGCCTATCCACAATTTGTCAAAACGTTTGGAGCGTTGGGCTGGCCATTTTGGAAAGCCATTTAATCGGCCGGAATTGTTCGATTCCTCACCGACCATTGATCGCCCTGCTCCCTGGGCTCTCTTTGGATCCGCCCTCTCGCTCAGAAGTCGAACGTGAGATTGGACTGTTGTACTTGAACAAAGTCGCGGGACCAGATGATCTTCATCCAGCCCTCTTCAAATTTGGGCGCCGTGCTTTTGTTGATGATTTACACAAATTACTAGTGAAGCTGTGGGAGCAGTAAACACTCCTAACCGACTGGAACCGCTCCGTTATTGTTCCGAGCTTCAGCGTAGGCTTGCGTTCGGAATGCGGCAACCATAGTGGAATCAGTCTGATCCCCATCGCCTCCAAATTACTTGTCTCTGTAATCCTTCACTGACCGACTGGCGCTCGTGAAAGCCAGATTCGTGTGGAGCAAGCCGGGTTTCGTCGAGGTCGTGGCTGCATCGACCACATCTTCACTTTACATCAATTGTTAGAGCACCGTCACACATATTGGCGGTCCACCGCAATCGTGTTCCTCGACATCAAAGTGGCCTTCTGTTCGGTTGATCGCAGTTCCCTTTGGGACTGTCTACTCAGGAAAGGTGTGCCCGAGAAATATGTAAGTATTATACGAGCATTATACGCATTATCTGCTCCCAGGAGAACGACTTCTTGACTTAGAGTATGCTGATGATATTGCCCTAATCTGTGACAGCTCACAAACGTGTCAAGCGGCACTGGACAGATAAACACTAGTTGTCCGTCACTTTGGGCTTTGCTTCGCATCCTTGAAGTGCAAAGCGTTCCTCCAAGATTGGTCTGGACCGCCTCCTACGCTGACCGTTGGTGGTTATCAGCTAGAAGTCGTTCAAAAATTCAACTACCTGGGAAGTTGTATCAGCACCCGTGGGATTGAGGATCTGATCACGAACCGTATAGCAAAAGCTCAGAGCGCTTTTGCTAACCTTCGTCACTTATGGCGGCGGCGCGACATCACTCTTGCCCTGAAGGGTAGAGTGTACAATGCAGCGGTACGTTCGACCCTACTCTACGGTTGTGAAACCTGGCCGTTTAAAGCAGCGGACCTGAAGAGGCTAGTTACGTTCGACCACCGGTGCCTTCGTAATTTAGCTCACATCTGGTGGGAACACTGCGTGAGCAACGTGCGTGTTCGACGCCTTGTTTATGGCACAGAAAAAGGAAATGAACCACTTAGCACCGTCATTTCACGCACCAGACTCCGATGGCTCGGCCACGTGTTAAGCATGCTAGCCCACCAACTTCCACAACGTGCGTTGTTTGCGCGCCGGGAGTGTGGATGGAAGAAGAGGAGGGGTGGCCAAGCGATGACTTGGTCGAGAGGAATGAAGGCCCTCACTTCTGAGCTGACCTCGGTTAGAGCGTCTCGGTTGCGTTGTTGGGGTCCGAAAGACGATGAACACGTTTGCTTGGACACACTTGTTGATATGGCTAGGAGCCGACCTCAGTGGCGTTCGTGCTGTGAGTTTGTCCTACCCCATCCCTCTTAGCCTCCCTCTCCAACCACGATCTCATTATTTAGCCTTATATAATTTTGCATAGTAATTTTTTTGGTGCACAGTAGCCTGCTGGTAGCTTACCGGAACGATGCCCATCCGTTCCTGGTAGCTCAGCCGGCTTGCACCATGTGCACTTTTTTCTCCTTTTTCTGTGTATTGCGGCACAGTAGCTGAGGTGTTCCCCACCTCTAGCTAACGTGTATGATGATGATGATGATGCTCCCTGGTTGGGGTCCAAGAGACGATGAACACGTTTGGCTAGACACACTTGCTGAAATGGCTAGGAGCCGACCTCAGTGGCGTTCCTGCTGTGAGTTTCATTGTCCCTCACCATCCCTTTTAGCCTCCCCCTCCAACCACAATCTCTTTTCGTAGCATAATATAATTTTACATCATAACTTTTCTTGTTGCCTAGTAGCTGGCTGGTAGCTTTCCGGAACGATGCCTATCCGTTGCTGGTGGCTTAGCTGGCATGCAACTGTTGTGTTTATGTTCTAATTTTTCTTTTATGTATTGCTACAGTAGCTGAGGTGTTTTACACCTCTAGCTAACATGTATAATGTTGTTGATGCGATTCATCTTGCTCTTTCGGTTGATGAAGCGGTCCACTATTATCATCAAAGGATGAACCTTACTACTTCCTACTGGTGGTTCCTTGCTTTCAGTTCAGTTTGCTACATATTACTCATGCACCGAAGTGGGATTAATCATAGTATCTTGACACGCGTCAGGAAAATAATAGTATCGGTATTTCAAGGTACAGGGGCAAGAAATGTAATCGTCAAACCGAATAACTGAGCTCTGGGAATTGTAGAGTGAAAGTAACTGCGCCATTGGTTTCGTGTTCGCCTTGTTCGATAAGATATAGTACTACTGGCACGGCCTGTCTCAGAGACCATGAGAATCTACCCGGTTTAGTCCTTCCATAAGCTTCTTCGTACTTTTAAGCCCAGTAGTTCTATCGAAAGTGAAGAATAGGGAAGGAGAAAGATGTAGTGACATTCCCACCACATTTTAACATGACGTTAGTTAGCACCCGGAACCAAGGACTTAGGGCGTGTAAACTGCGCTCGGCTATAATACATAGAACTCGTGCTATAACCAGTCGGCATCAGTT